CTAACAACCTTGCGGCTGTAATTAAATTTAACATCAATGTAGTCTCTTTAGTATCACAATCAGTAACAATACCTAACAAAAACAATTGTGGGGTAAATTTTACCCTCCTTCTAAAAATTCTTTGAAAATTCCACCATATCTTAATCCCAAAAAAAATTTAAAAAAAATATCATCACTGATATTTTTTCATTCATCATATTTTGGATATTCTCTGAGATTTTTGGTAAGTCAGCTTTTTATGTATTGCTTTATTTTTTCTTGCGAAATTTCTTCTGTGTAAAGTGTCTCGTAAAAGCCTTTGATTATTTGATTATAGTCATTTTGGAATTGTAAACCACCTTTTGAATCTTGCAGTTTGTTTATCAATTTTTTCTCTCTTTCTTTTTTCAATCTGTATGCTAACCACCTACCCGGTTTATTAGCGTTTTCAAAAAGGTTTTGTTTTGCCCTTTTAATTTGTTGGGCCATTTTTCCAGCCTCTGCTAGGTTTAATTTATGTTTTATTATTTCCATTTGCTTTTTAAGAGTTTTCTTTTGTGGATCTCTTTGTAGTTCCAATTCCAATTTTATAAATTCCTCCTTTAACTTTGTTTGTTGTTGCATTTTTTCTTTATTTTTTTCACCATGTAAAAGTTATAACCAAACCTCTGAAGTATGCTTTAGCTGTATCCCACACATTTTGAAGCAATATCTCTTCTTTTTTGTTTATTTTAAAGAAAAATTCCATTTCCTTTGTTGCTATTTGTATAAATTATTTCTCTTTCAGATTGATTCAGAGACCATCTTAGTTTCTTCTTAGCTCCTCTCCAAGTCATCTTTATCAGATTATGGTCTGCCCATATATTGGTTTCTATCTCAATCTCTTGTATAATCGTGCTTAATTCAGGGGATATCCATATCATATCAATTCTAGACCATGATTTGTGCCTGTTTGAGTAAAATGTATATTGTGATTTGGGGGGGTTCTTTTCTCTCCATATATCCTGTATACAGATTTCTTCTGCCATTTTAAAGAAAATCTTAGGTAATGTATTCTTTCCTTTTTTCCCTGTTTCGCTACTTCTGTAGTCCAGCTTTCCATCTATTATTGCTTTAAAGTCTCCCATTAAACAAATGTTTTGATATTCCAATTCCACTATTTTTTGTGTAATTTTTGATAAAATTCTTCTTGTTTGTTATTAGAAGCATATATTGCTACCATCAATATCTGTTTTTGATTTATCATTATTTCCACCATTAATATTCTTCCCTCTTCATCTGCATAGATTTGTCTGGGGTTCATTGTCTCTTTGATATATAAAGCTATTCCTCTTTTCTTTTGTTGTGCTAATGTAAAATGAAGTTTCCAATTTTCAGTTGTTCTAACAGTTTGTAATGTTGTCTTTTAATATGTGTTTCTTGGAGACAGACTATATCCATTTTTAATTTTCGTAGTCGTGTAAAGATTTTTTTCCTTTTTGCGGGGGAGTTCAAACCATTTATATTCATTGAAAGAATCCCGTTTTCCTTCTCCATCTTTTTCAATTATATTTAGGTTTTATTCTTCTAGTTGTTCTTATCTATCTTTGTTCTCTTGATTTTGCCCCTTCTTCTATGTTTGTGTTTTCTCTTTCTTCTTCTTCCCTTGGTTTGGGTGATCCTTCTGTTGCTATCTTTTCCTGTTTTTGTGCTTCTCTCTCTGCATGAAATTCTGGACTTTCCCCTTCCAAAAAAGCTTTGTATCTCTCATAAAATTCCATTGACTTCAGTTCAGTGTCCGATCTGTATCTTTTCATGTCCCTATTAATTAAAATCCCTTCTGGAATCAACCATCTGAAGTTCACTCGTTTTTCAATTAGTTTTCTGGTCAGGAATTGGTATTCTCTTCTTGAATCTCTTATCCTTCTGGGGATCTGCTTCAGTACTACAATTTCCTTTTCTTTATAATGCAGAGGATCATCTCTTACTCTTCTCAATATGTCTTATAGATTTGATGTATCTAACATGTACTTCTCTAGGACTTTATTTCTCCTCGCATAGCTTGAATTGACTTGAAATATCTAGTCTATCTCTCCTTCCATTTCCTGTTTCCTGATTTCCAGTGCTTCAGCCAATAACTCTGTCATTAAATCCACGAGATCCCCTTCTTTGTCCTCCATTACATTTTGAAATCTTAAAAAATAAGTCTTTTCCATTTTCAAAACTGCCATTGAGTCTTCTATTTCTCTATTTGCCTGCATCAGCCTCTGATTTTTATCCTTTATTTCTTCCATCTTCTGATCAATCTCTATTGACCTATCTTCTATTTTTTGAATTCTTTGTTCATTCTTTGTAACCATCTGTCAGAAGCTTTCTAGTTGAGAGTTTATGTTATGAATTTCTTGATTCATTTTCTCAAAGTTGTCTTTTGTCTCATGTTTTGTATCTTCTTTGTGAGGAGATTGCCTCTTGGATTGCTTATGATGCCACTTGCATCTCCTTCCAGAAATTGTTAGATTTTTCTTGTTGAAGCATTGATTTGATTAATCTCTGATACACAGGGCTTGCAGAGATGGAGGACGGGGCTGTATGTGTTTTCTTGCCAGTTTTAGATAAATTTTGAACACTCATTTTTAATTCCACACCCCAAAATTTTTATCAACTCTAATACTTTTCCCAAATGTCCGCCTTCTACTAAACCATTAATCTTGTATTCAATACCACAATATATCATTTAAATTTGTCTTAAAAACTCTCATAGTTCTTATCTATAGTTTCTATAGTCCAATAAACTCCCTGAAAAAGAAGGGAGAACAAAGAAGAAGAGAAAAAACACTGTAATCCAATTCTGTTTGTGGAGCTCACTTCCAGAGTAGTTGTCCAAAATCCAAGATTATCGTTCAGTGAAAATTTATAATCTGCAAGGTCCTACTATTCAAAATTAATAGTCCATAGAGTCTTCTTCAAAGAAAATCACCAACAGTTAAGTTTCCACTGTCCTTAAGCAGTTTTGAGACTAAAAGTTTATAATCCAATAGGCTCCCCAGACAACAACAAGAAAAAGAGAAAAAACAAAAGGGAAAAGACAAAAAAAGAAAAAATGAGAAGGGAAAAAAGTTTATAATCCACTTCTATCTTCTGACTCCAGCTCTAACCAATTGTCCCAACATCCAAAGATGCCAATCTGCCAAAATTACAATCCAAATTGTCTTACAGTAGATAGTTCCTTACCATTCAGTCTGTCTCTAAATAGTTTATAAAATTACAGGTCAAACAATATTTGTAATCCAAGGAAGCCAGATGGCTTCAAATAGTTTGTAGTTTTAGTTGTAATCCGTCCTGCTGAAAAGACAACCCAAACAGTTTTTCTCTTTTTCCATCTGCAATCTACAATGTTATGAAGTTCAGAAACATCAAAGGGTTTAGTCTGTTATTTATGTCTGGGCATCCGGCCAAGTTCCCTCCCTCCAGACAAAATATAGATAGAGCTTGGTGTAGTTCTTTTTTTTATGTCATTAGATATCTGTTTTGTAATTTTCCAACCAAAAAAGTTTTTCCCCCTTAAGTTTTGCTCCGATACTCTCCAAGAAAGGCAAAAAAAAAATAAATACCATTTTTTCTCCGGAGGTCAGCAGCTTCCGACTGGCTGCATGGGTGCAGCCAGTCTTTCTCCTGTCGGTTCTGAGGGCTTCCTTGGATCAAGCAGGTTGACCACCATCTCCCTGTGATATATAAGGGTCCCCTCTTGTTTTGTTGCCTCTCCGGGGCGACTTCAGGCCCTTTTCCGGTCCCCGGCAGGAAGAAATCGGGTGCAGGAGGCAGAGCCCTGCTTCCCTGCATCCGTCTTACCACAACGTCAAAACCAGAAGTCAACATTGCTTCCTTCTTAAGGGTGAAAGTAAGTTACTGGTCCTAGCTTACCAGCTGGCTTTGTGCCTAAGACAGAATTATAACTCATGGTCCCATGGGTTCTAGCCTATGACTTAAGCATTATTTATTTATTTTATTTATTTATTTATGAGACTTATATACTGCTTTAAGTGCAAGCACTCTCTAAGCGGTGTACTCCAGTAAGCAATGTATATATATATATATATATTTTACATTGCCCCCAACAATCTGGGTCCTCATTTTACCTACCTCGGAAGGATGGAAGGCTGAGTCAACCTTGAGCCAGTGAGATTTGAACCGCTGACCTGCTGAACACAGTCAGCTAAAGTGGCCTGCAGTACTGCACTCTAACTGCTGCGTCACCTCGGCTCTCACATCAAAGTGACTCTTATTCTGACATCTTTATGCAAATGTTTGCATAATGTTGGTTCCACCTGAAATAAGATTTCACAGGGTTGCATAGTCAAGGTCCCATCACTCAAGCAGTGTCATCTTGCAGGACCCAGGAGATATGCCTTTTCTGTCTCAGTGCTTGTCTTTTGGAACAAAATTCCCCGAGATCCAGATGACTTTGGCCCCGCTTGCCTTGTTTGAAAGGCTTTAAAGACCTGACTCTTCCCTTAGACAACAGATCAGGAGATTTTATGAATTTCAGTTGCTTGAATGTATAAATTTGTCCTCAGTGCAATATATTTATAATTTTTGGTTTATTACCGGTATTGTAATTTTTCATTATTTGCTAGCCACTATGATTACATGGCAAAGAGAAACCATATAAATTAATTAAATAAACAAGCAAGCCGAAGAGCCTCTTATAGAGCTTTTAAAATGTCTGCCTTTTCTAAAAATCATATGATATTGTTTTATGTTCCAGACCAAAAAAAAAAAAACCCAGTTTAATTTAGCATATTGAAATAACTGTGATAAAAAATGCATGAATGGACTGGGAAGACCATTACATTGTTACTTTATATAGTACATCTCCTTAGGAAGCTACCTCTTTACATATGAAGAGAAAAAAGAAAAGAATAAAACAACTCAGATGAACTGAAATAATCTTTTAAAAATATACACTTTTCATCCCTGTAATAGGAAAAAGCATTTATCTTTAATATTTATATTGTATGGAATTGTATACTTCTAAAAATTACCAATAAGACTTCTGTAATCCCTCAGTCTAGTGTTTCTTTTTTCTTGTTCTTCACTGACAGATTTCCACTGAAGCTTCATCCTGAAATACTCATCTCTGAAGAATTACAAAAATCAGAAATTATGATAAAGATATTGTGTAATTTGAAATATGAAGCATTAAAAACAAAGAAAGCTAGTTCACATTTTTCATTTGTAACTACCAGTAATTGGTAATTACTACTTCTGTCAGAATAATATTTATATTTTTATGACTTTTGCATAAATTATATAACTTCTTTTAAGAACACAAAATATAACTTCTCAATCTAGGGTGATAATACTAAATGCTGTCCTCCAAACACACGACAGATATCCTGATTCTAAAGCCTGGTTGCACATATTTAGTGAAGGAATGGACAATGGGTCCATTTCTCCTTTTGGGAGCTAAGAGATATCATAAAAAATACAATAGAATTTCGACAGCAAACCAGCAAACAATAAACACATGCATTACTGCCCAGATAATTGGCAAAATAAAATCAGTCTACAAATCTTCAACTTCACATACCTCCAAGTCTCAGTATAACCACTCATAATGTCATTAGCCAGCTAACTTTAGCCATTTTCCCCAATCCTGCAGAAAGATATGACATCCAGCCACCACAATTTTGCTGCTTTCTGTTTAAACGTATTACTACCATGTCACTGTTTTAATATATCATGCTTACGTTTTCCTTTTCTGCATACTTGTCCTCTCATCCCTGGTAGTATTCCATGAATAGTAACCCAACAGGAATTTCCACACTTCCTTCCTCAAAGCATGACAAAGTCCCTTGGAAGAAAAAAAAAAGTAAAGGTAAAACTGGACCCTTTATAAGTAAAACATGAAGACCAGGAACAAACCATGTCATTTTATAAGGGTAGCACTACCATCCTTAATTGCTTCTTACAATTTATCTGGGTTTTTTGCTCAAAGTCCTTTGTTTCATTGCTTGTAAGGTAGTCAAGGTGATTCTCATAATCTTATAAGTAAGCTAATTTTCTAGCTTTCTATTACTCATTTTGGTTTCCCAGACTTAATTTTGCAAAACTCTTTACTAATAAAAAATTAATGGTCTGTCCTTCCAACACTTGGTTTCCATATTATCTCTCTCTGTCGCCTACCTCTTTGTTTTTCCTTGGCTTGTATCATCAGTTTTTAGACTGAGAATCCTCTATAACCGTGGTGGCGAACCTGTGGCATGCAGAGCCCTCTCTATGGGCACATGCGCCATCGCCCCAGTCTTAGACCTTCAGCTGGGTTTTATAAAACCTTTTTGCTTTAGGCCTCTACTGCCGTGTGCAAAAAAAAAAAAGGTTCAATCAATCAATCAATTTCAACTTCTTGCGGGGAAAAAAAAGATCTCTCAAAGTTGGAATTGCTTTTTAGTCCCACGCAGTCTGCCATTATCACCGCAGCTATGCCCACCCAATGGGCCACACCCACCCAATGGGCCACACCTACTCAATAGGCCATCCAGCACCCGATGATACATAAGTGGGTTTTGGGTTGCAGTTTGGTGCTCGGTCTCTAAAAGGTTCGCCATCACTGCTCTATAAGTAATGTTGGAGCTGTGGTGACGCAGTGGTTAGAATTCAGTAATGCAGGCTAATTCTGCTAACTACCAACTGCCAGCAGTTCAGCAGTTTGAGTCTCACTGGCTCAAGGTTGACTCAGACTTCAATCCTTCCAAGGTCAATAAAATGAGGACCCAGATTATTGGGGGGAATATGCTGACTCTGTAAACTGCTTAGAGAGAGCTACAAAGCACTGTGAAGTGATACATAAGTCTAAGTGTTATTGCTATTGCTATTACTTCCTACAGTTGATACAGTTATCAAACCATTTCATTTCAGTGATTTAAAATTTATTTAAAAATTATTATGAAGTACAGTAACAAAGGAAGTTTTGTTTTTGCTTTGAAAGATTTAGGCAGCTGTTCAAGTGGTATGGAGATAGACGAATACTGTTGTCAACTGTTTATGTTCCATCTTTTATTGATATTTCATCTCTATATTTCAGAGCACATTCCCTCCCCAATATATCTTTTGTATGAATGATAAAATGAATACAACTTAACTCTTTATATAAAAATGTAGATTTGGAAAAAAAAGTTAACATTAATGGAGTCATTGTGCCCTTATTATGACAAAAATAGTGAGATTGCAGCATTGCAAACTTAAATGTATGGCCTTTTCACATAATAGACCAGTGATGGCGAACCTTCTAGAGACCAAGTGCCCAAAAACCACCACCCTACCCCTATTCCTACTCCGCCCTGCCCACAGGGCCACCCACCACCTCCACGGTCCATCACAGATCACCCAGCAGCCCAGCAGCACCATGGTGGCCACACCCTCCACCTGTGCCCCGCAGCATCATCTGTGTGCAATGGGGCGCAAGGGCTGAGTCTTGTCCCCGCTGCCCGGCTACCATATCCTTGGCTGCACAGCTTTGCATGGGCCGCACCCGGGGGCGACTCTTCTCCAGGGGGGTTGCTGGTGAGGAGGGGGCCGTGGGAGGAGGCAGGGCTGGGACGACGGTATGTGTGCCCACAGAGTGGGCTCTGAGTGCTGCCTCTGGCACGCATGCCATAGGTTTGCCACCACTGTACTAGACTGAGGACCTGATTGCACTTGCCACTTATGAGCAAACTGACTTCAGACGTAGACTTTGAATGGACAAATATAATGAAATATAGGATTCATTTATACAAGGTACATTAGATATAATATAAAATTGTATAAATGTATTAGAAATATATATATAAACTTGAATAATTGCATCCGACAAGGAGCATGCTGGTTCACAAGGTTAGACTGCTGGGCTGACAATTGGTAGGCTTGCATTCAAGACCCCTTCCTGCCATGGGGTGGGGTGAGCTCCCATCACACCATCCAGCTCCTACCGATCCAGCAGTCTGAAAGCAGGAAACCATGAGTAGATAAAAGGGTACCACTTTGGTGGGCAATTTAATGGGGACACAAAAGGAACCCCGAACTGGGTGTCCCCCAGGCAATGGTGATATCACCGATAACTCCTTTCACCCCAGAAGCACTTTGGCACTTCCAACTCAGAAGTAGTAATATTGCATTAGACAACTATTTGTAGAATTGCAATTATTTACTGTTAAAATGATGTATTACTACTTTATGTGTAGCACTTTATGTGTTTTACTTTTTTTGACAATGCATGCATTTTCATCTTTGCAGTTTTTTCTGATTTTTTGGTCACTATTTTAAACACAATAAAAAGTAAATAACTGAAGATATTACCCCTCTGAATATCATTTGTTTCATAGCGTTTACATTCAATATTCTTCCTTCAGAATCCATATTCTTAGTCCATTCTTCAATTGATACTGGTTGCTTTCTGTGAACCTCAAGTCGTTTTCCTAAATCAATCTAAAACATGGATCAAAAATCTATTACATTATTGCCAAGACATTAATTTTCAAACCACCAGATGGATGTCTTGTTACCATCTAAAATTCCAAGAACTTAAGACTCACTCGTGTAATGACTTCAAATCCTGGTTCTTCTTGTTGATTTATTTTCAGTCCTGGAATAGCATCACTAATGAAATCTGCCATTTCTGATGGAGGCCGCTGCTCATTTACTGAATCACTTCCTCGTAAGCTATCAAAAATATAGTTTGTCACTTTGGAAAATCTTCCCATTGTTGTTGTGTAAGGATCCTTTTTCAATTTCTAAGAAAAACAAAGATAAAGTTTATTTGGATAGATGCATGAACATATGAAGAAATTGGGAGGTACTATGATGAAGACAAGACTCATCACAATAATATTACATTAAAAAAGATTATGTGTGTTTTTTTTAATGAAACAGAATTAAGAAGCATAACTTGAATACTTGACCTAGAATTTGCAACTGGTGCAGAATTTTGCAGATAGGATGCTGTGTATCATGGGCTAGGCACATTACAGCAGCAATAATGCTGGCTGCCTATTAGCTACATAGCCAGTTTCAATATCTTACTGCTGACACACAAAACCTAAAACAATCTGGATTTAAGTTTCCTAATAGATCAATTTCTCCATTATAGACCTACACAATCCATAAAATAAGAAAGCATTCATTTTTATGTAGGGTTCCTCCCTGAAGAACCATACATATGAAAACTGGTTATCTTTGAGGTGGTAGCCTTTCTTTGGAGTGCTGCCCCTTCTTTTCCCCATCCCAATTCCCAGATTACTCAGGAAAGGACAGCTGTTAGATTTCCTTCCCTAGATGAGTGCTGAGTGAGTATTAGAAGCAGACAACCTGCCATATTATGGACAGGTTTGGGGGAGGTTTTCCCTTGACTTGTTTAATGGTGTTTGTCAATATCCAGGCATCAAGACAATGGTAGAGAGACACTGGGCATTACTTAGTCTATCTAGAAGATCTTCTATACCAGGCATCAAACAGCTGTTGAATTAGTGTATAAAAGCACTTGTTGCATAACAAACCTGTGCACATTGTTTGGTTTTGATGCCAACACAATAGGGGAATACCATTCAATTTGAGATGGTTCAATTACTCCCAGTTTCAACATTTTATCCATCTCTTTTTCTAATACTTTCTAGAGTCTCTCTGCAACAAATCAGACTGGTTCGACATCCCAGTATCAATGATATGCTCCACTGACATGGTACACTGTAATTTGGAAAATTTGAATCAGATTTTAGATATTCTTTTTGTGATGACAGATATTGATTGGGCTGTAATTCTTGATTACTGGTACTGTCCAAACCTTCATATTTCTTTTCCATGACCTCTCAGTTATTCTTACTCCAGATAAGAAAGACAGGATTGTCTTTTATGTAACTTTTTACTTAATATTTTCCATTGTCCAGATAAATTTGAATCACTACATATTCAACCACATTTTTAGAGGATTCAGTCCAGTTATTCCATTTTTTTTTATTGTATCCATACACTATTGTAAAAGAAATAAATCCTGTTAAAGTATGCAGTTCTTCCCTGTACACAAACATGAGATGTGGCAACCAGGTTTTGAAATGATGGGATGCCATCCTGCATATTTTTCTTAGCATCTTGAGAGTTTGAATCATCATAATAATAGAGATAGTACTTGAGGGGTATTTTAGGAGGCTTGACTGATTTCCCTGATCTGTCAAGATAATAAGGATTATGCCATTCTATTTAATTCATCTGCTGTTTTGTTGAAGGCAGAATGAAGACCCTGTTATATTTATCTGGGTGGGTGGATTGGTGGGTGGGTAGGTAGATAGGTAGGTAGGTAGGTGAAAGAGAGGTAGAGCATATGCCCTGAAAACCTTTCCTATTAGAATCTAGCCATCCAATCTTCAATTGGACATTTACATGATATACAATTTTACAAACTATAAAAATCTCTCTATATCCTTATTTTATAGCGTTCCTCATTAATTTATAGATTTTTATATTTTCAACACAAAATCCTTCTCTCCTCTACTAGATACTTCTAAAGTGACTAAAGATACTTCCCCAGTGACTCCTGATTTCTGAAAAGGAAAATGAGCTCTATGCATGTCCCTTTAGACTTTTTTCTCTTTCCTTTCTTATTCTGGGTGACTTCTAGTTAGGATCTCTCTCCACTGCCTTTCTTCCTCTTCTCATCTTAGAAGATATGCATGCTTCTCTTGTTGCTGATGCAGCACACTTCTCATAACATTTACCCATGGCTCTGCTCACTTGACTTAGCTTTCACCTTCAGTGTCAGAAATTTCCAGTGGAGGATCTGAAACTATTTGGTCTTCAGCAGATGTCTTTGCTTTGTACTGCTCTGCTTGTCAGCACTGCTCTACAGATGTGTTTCCATCTCCAGAATAGCAACTGTATAAAAATATTTTGTATGATCTTTTCTCTTCATTCTGGTTACTACTTGGTTTCCTTGCATTATACCCCAAGCCTATTCATATATGTCAGTCAACTCATTCTTTCCAGATTTCAGGGGTTCTTTTGTCTGTGACTGTAATGCATATTAGGCTCAATAAAGGCTTTTTATAAAATGTAATAAAGTTGCAAGCTTCCTCTTACTGCAAGATTTTGGTCTCTCCCACTCCACTCCCATTCCTGTTTATTTCAAGAAACACCTATTTTAATATATTAAATCTTACATTTAATTTTTACCATAAATAATACACTATACTAACCTGTATTAGGCCACATGTTGGTTCATCAAGGAGATTTTCAAAGGACTGTGAAATACTCTGATAATTCACAAGAACCCTTTTATCCTGTTCAGATCTGAGAGGGGAGGAAAAAAGTATATTTTTTTACACTTCTTTCTATAATTCTGTTTCCTACTTTGGGATAAGCTAAGAATAACTATAAAACTTGCATTTGAAAAAAAAACAGCAGCTACAGATTATAAACTGATCATATAATACTTTAAATAGGATATGCATTTATTTTCTATGCAAACATTACATTACTGATGATGAAGTTGAAAGTACTTGATTGTTATTTTGAGATTTAAATTCACTACTGCCAGTTTCTGAGACAAAGAAACTAGTATTTTTAATATCCATGAGGGAAAGAATTATCACCTATTCTGTTATTAAAGCCTAAAACTTTTAATAAATGTTATCACTCTTCAATACTAATGTGAGTGGATGCATCTATGACAGAGGATATGAAATTCAACAGAAGATTGTATCTTGGCCTTCTGAAAATAGGATGTTAATAAACAAAACTGTGGTTTGCTAACATGGCACAAGAATCAAAAGTTGTACTGACTCATGTATAGCTAATCTACCAAAATGAAAAACCCTAAAGATACCTGCATTTTAATTAAATGTGTCTTCAGTAAGGTTTACCATAAATTAGAATTATTAACTTGCTCAGAGCAATTATTTACATTAATGCTGCTATGGACATATGGACTGCTCCAGCATCATTAACTTAATCTCCCCACCCAATATTTATTTTTTTCTCATTGATTTAAAATTTTAATTTGGAACCAATGATTAATAAAGAAGTCGACTTGGTCAATCAGAATAATGCATCATATTCAAAGCTCTATAGGGATAAAATAAAGAAATAACAATGTTATCTAGCTTTTCTTGTTTTTCTTTTAAAATGAATTACTCTCATCGGAAGTGGCAGGAGGGAACACAAATACTCAATTATGGATAGTCAGTGGCTGATTTTAAGCTTCTGCAGAGTCAGATATGGATTCACAGCTCACTCCATCCAACAAGCAACACCCCACTACTTCTATTGCTGCATTCTAATTCATGCTTTAGAAATCTTCACACTGTCATTCCTGATGAAACAAGAAAAGCTAGAGAACATTATTTTTTCTTTACTTTATCTCTATAGAGCTTTGAATATGATGCATTGCCGTGATCGACCAAGTCGACTTCTTTATTAATCAATGGTTCTAAATTAAAATTTTAAATCAATGAGAAAAAAATAAATATTTGGGGGAGGGGGCAGGTTAAGTTAATGATACTGGAGCAGTCCATATATCGATAGTAGCATTAATGCAAATAACTGCTCTGAGCAAGTTAAGTAATTCTCATTTATGAAGATTGAAGATGGAACACTGAAGATTTCTCAGTGTCAAAAGAAACTAGCCACCTATTGTCTAATACTCATCTATAATAAAATCACTTTTATTTTCAAGTTCAATTTTTCCATAAGGAGTTAAACAGACATGAAACTAGATATAAGCAAACATTTCATCTTTGCAAACAGACTATTCCAAGGAACTCTGAAATGTCTTGTCATTTACCTGAATAATACCAAATCAGCTATAGTCTACAGGCTTTCTACAATTAAATTCTTTAGAATATGAAGTTGTTCATATTACTGCATACATACAAATTAAAAAATTAAAAAAGTTTGCCCTGAAGCAAGGAAATAGCTAAAGTGGAGAGTCTCTTGGGAGACACAGAGAAGACTGCTTAAAAGTCTATTATTATTTTTTTTTGCAAATTGCATTTTAGATAATTTGTTAATTTGGGCATATCCTGGGGCCAATGAAGCAATTTGTAATTGCTTGCTTGTGAGGTAAGAATCAAGTTTGGGACTGCTATTACTGAAACAACAGTATATCTATTTTTTGTGGAGGTAATGACTTATTCAAAATTGTAAAAAGGAATAATTGGGTTAAACAATTTAAGAACCAGTCCTCTATATTACTAATCTTAAAAAGAATTATCAAAAGTTTCACTGTATCATTATACATTAAAAGTCACTTCTTGTTTTTACTCTGCTTCTACAATCTATACAGATGGTTAAAAGTTTGTGAAAGTTAAAATATCAAATAACTTGCTGGTTCCCATGCAACTCACTTGTTTAATTGGATTCTCTTTATCTAATTTTAGAACTTGTATGGAGAACAGATAACATTTTAGATCATATTTATGCAGAAATATTGAAAATTCAAACGAATTAACAAACTTTTAAATACCATTGTAAATACATCTTTTGTTGTTGTTTAATCCTAAGAATACTTACTCACAAAGCACCACATATTTTCTAAGTGTTTGGATGAATAAATTGCTATCACCATGATGAAAATGAAGAGCTGGAAGGACAACATCATCCTTTAACCAGAATACCAAATAGGACCATCCCATTCCTTCTTTGTTTTGTTTAACTGATTTTAAATCTGTTAAACTGAAAAAGAAGGACCACTTGTTCTCGCCAGTTGTACGAACTGCAACATCTGAAAGGATAAAAAAGATAAAGAGCATTTTCACAACTGCAATATGTAATCATAGTTATGATTTCCTTGCAACTGGAGAAATTTCTTCTAAAATAAATACTTGGTGTTTCAATACTTTCTGGCTAAATGTGAGTAATGTAAAAAAGCAAATGATTGTCCCATTTTCACAGATTTTAGTTTTTAATTATCATTTCTTATCATTTTATTATATTAGTTTAATATGAACAAGGAATCAATATTTGTTTATTCATTCACAAATGAATAAGGATTTAGCATCCATGTATTGGGAAGGAAGTATGGAAGTCATAGAACAGAGGTCCTCAACCTTTTGGGCACCAGGGACCGATTACGTGGGGAGAGGTTTTTCTGTGGACCAGAGAGAGCGTGGTTTTGTGTGCTGCCTGCATCATGCAGATGGGGCTCTGCTTGTTTGTGCAGCCCCGTTGCTGGCATGCAGCGCCCCGGTACTGGTCCATGGACTAGGGGTTGGGGACCCCTGTCATAGAAGAAAGCAAATCACTTTGCTACCAAAGTTCTCTGTGAAAGATGAACCAATATGCAATTTGGATCTTCTCATGTTTATGATAAGATATTACAAAAGAAAGACTAATTCTATCAAGAGAGGTAACATACCAATTTAAGTTAATGAAAAATGCTCCAAAAATGTTCATAGATATCACACAGAGCACCCCACCAACCAAAAACTGAATTGAGTATCATTTCCTCAACTTCAATTTTGGGTTTCCTGCTCGAGCAGGAGGTGGACTAAATGACCTCCAAGGTCCTTTCCAACTCTGTTATTCTATGATTCTATTATTTTTATTTGTAATTCTAAACACATGCTATCTTATAGCAATAAAGGAAGCATTATAGTAAAACATGCAGGAACATCTTAGAGTAATTATCAAGAATAACCTACACAATGTTTATCTGTTAACATTTTATGTTATGAATCTTTCCAATCATTATAAGAAAACAAATATGCTAACTGGTTTCACAGCCAAGAGTACAGTTGTGATGTACTATAGCATGTGACTGTGTCATTTGAAAAGGACAATTACTTCGCAACATAGATTGTTATTAAAAGTTGTTGAGAATTTTACTTTAATCCTTTTTCATTATCAGTACAATGCAGTAATTGAATTTGTTTTTATGTAGTATATTCATAGCATTTAGGAGAAAGATTATAGAATTTATATTTGTATTTTTACAAATATTACAGAGACATCTTTTTGTATATGTTTTTTTCAAAATAAATAAATGAAATATTGTACATACATTTACTGAACTGTACTATTAACAATTGCTATGTTTATTGAAAGAAGTTTAGTAAAAGACAATCTAAACTTATGTGTGTGTGGGAACAACCTTGCTTCCCGGAAACTCCTGTACAATACATTACAAAAAGTTTATCAATTATCTTAAACTGTCTGATTTAATTTAGTCTTTTAAGCATGTTTCTTCTAAAATGATTATTTTCCTTGTACTACATAAGTGTAGGTAATAATCCTGAGGAGGAATCAGTGTATGAAATCAGATGACCAAAATATGAACTCATTCCAGACAACTTTATTTTTGGTGTTGGCAGGTTTTCCTCTCCTCCTTACCATTCTCTTCATTCTCTGATCGAATTCTTCCTACTTAATTCACTTTCCCTCATGACCTGGCATCTCCTAATCAACTAATAATGTATAGTTGTATGCATTATTTTTGTAATGTTTTGTGGAAAGCAAATCTTTAGACTACAGATCTTCTGCTGACGAAATTTTGAATGCTATTTATTGCCCAAGTTGCATCAAAATGGGAGACTGCAACCGCAAACCATAATTTTAGAGATTTTGTACTGAGTTGCCATTTTTATTTTTTTCCTTGCTAAATTCTTCCTCAATAGCAATCAATACTTCCTCCCAAAATTACTTTCTATAAACTCTTTTAGTTATTAAAATGACACTTTGGCCCACTGATGGGCATTAAAAGGATACTTTGGCTGACCAATGAATGTTACTTTTTTAGAGAAACATGCCCTTACATTTTCCATCTTTAATGCATAGTGTTTTCTTAGATGGATGAGTTATTTCTGTTTTAATGATTTAAGACAATGTACTCCTTATTATAACATATGTTAACAGTCCACAGCCCACTAGGGATAAGACATAAAAAAATTGTAAAAATAAACAAATAATGCAGACATAGACTTGTAATGAATGAACATCCTTTAGTTCCAAACGAAATCAGTAGAATTTCATTCATTACATCTGAAGTCCATCCATCTAGATTCCACTAAATAAGATTTTGCCATATTACAACTTCTTGTAATAAGTAAATAAAAAAATATCATTAGAATCCTGTTTTCTGCTATTAACAAGATTACAAACAACACATAAATTTTAAGTACTAAGATGATATCTTATCATATACTCATTTTGTTTCAAATTATTTGAATAATCTATAGAAATCATACGCATCTTCAACAATTTTCAGTAATTACCAAAAATAAATGCTAATGGATGAGAAAGTAACAGGCTTCTCTATAAATAAAAATGCCTTTTACAGATACAGGTGCCTTGTATTTTCATTCATTAAATTTATATGTCTTAATTATATATGTCTTAATTATACATAGCTTAATTCGGAATTTTAGAATCCCCTTTGTTGCGAAAGACAGATGATCAGCATTATAGCTGAAACTTCACAAGGAAGCAAGTACCAGAAGTAAAAAGCTCTATATCCAGGAATATAATCTCACAGGGCTGAACCAATAAATCACCGTAATATTTTAATATCTGTGTTACTTAAGTACCTCCATTTGAATGTGGCTTCTTTTTAAAAGAGACAGTGTTGACCATATCCCATTCTGCTTCATAACTGTTCATATGTTCTGGCCCTCTGAAAATCTTCTCCTTAGGAGTCTGCACCCATTCTACAACTGAACTGGAATCCTAAATAAAATATCGAAACAGCATCAGCAGCCATTTTTCTTGTAAACTACTTATAAAATCAATTTTTCTGTCCATAACTACAAAGCACATTTGTTCAAGGAACATCACTTTTGTTATTTGCAAATTTAAGATTAAAAAAATGCAGTAAATCAAGCTGTAAAACAATTTACTTTGAAGAAAAGTGCCAATCAAAAAGTCATAAAACTTTGTTTTATAGTTCGGCTCAAGGAAAGGAGAAAAATAGCATTTTAGCTTCAGAAGAAAATAGTCTTGCTCAGATATAGCATTACTCAACCTTTGGCTTGTTTAAGGCATTAGTCCCAACATTCCATACTTCTGCAACTTCCTTTCTCAAATGTCATAGTAGAACTATCAATGGAATAATTTGCTTTCCATCCCTAACAAACAATAAGAGTTCATACATTTACAGCTGAATAAAAAACAAATGTGAACTATGTAAACTGCAAACGGTGACAGATTTCTTTAAAACGTTAATGCAAGCAATCATTTCATACTATAGCAGTGGTTCTCAACCTTTTTAATGCCGCGACCCCCAACCGGTCGTAAGTCGAGGACTACTCAATCGGTCGTAAGTCAAGGACTACTCAACTGGTGCAGCACCGTTTGCAGAATGGGACTTTTGGTGGGCTCAGCAGGGCAGAGACAGCCTAGACAATTCCTATTGGCTTTTGAAAGCCAATAGAATTAGACTCTATTCAAGAGAGTCTATTCTATTGGCTTTCAAAAGCCAATAGAATAAAAGGGAGTAGCACAGCTAAGGAAAAGGGGGGAAAAATGGCGGACTGCATTGTTTGGTGACCCCCGTGAAATGGTCGTTCGATCCCAAATGGGGTCCCGACCCACAGGTTGAGAACCACTGTACTATAGTAAAAGAAATCAAAGACCTATGATTTTCTAGTCTTATGGTCTGGGAATATTTTTTTAATGATTACGACTTACACAAAATATATAATATTATTCAAGCTCTGTATTAGTCCACAAAATTATTTTATAGGCTTCAGCTATCTTTCCTAAGCATCTCTAAATTAAATCAAAAATTTAAATTCTGGATGTCAGCTAAGATATGCCAGACAATTCTTATTGCATTCTCTGACCAGGTGACAAAATTAGTGGACCAGAGGAATGCTATGGATATAATTTACTTGGACTTCAGTAAGGCATTTGATAAAGTAGACCACAACCTATTACTTGATAAGATAGAGAAATGTGGATTAGACAGCATCACCACCAGATGGATTCGTAGCTGGCTGACCGGCCGTACTCAGCATGTGGTCCTCAAAGGAACTGCATCTACATGGAGGGAAGTGTGTAGTGGGGTGCCCCAGTGCTCTTCAACATCTTCATCAATGATGTGGATGAGGGGATAGATGGGGAACTCATCAAATTTGCAGAGACAACAAGCTAGCAAGAATAGCCAACACTCTAGAAGATAGGCTTAAGATACAGAAGGATCTTGACACACTTGAACATAGGGTGCTATCTAACAAAATGAAATTCAATGGTGAAAAAAGTAAGGTTCTACATTTAGGCAAGAAAAACCAAATGCACAGGTACAGTACAGGTGGTACCTTTCTCAATAGTAGTAACTGTGAAAGGGATCTCGAAGTCCTAGAGGACAATCACTTAGATATGAGCCAGCAGTGTGCTGCAGCTGCCAAAAAAGCCAACACAGTGCAAGGCTGTATTAACAGAGGGATAGAATCAAGATCACGTGAAGTGTTAATACCACTTTAAAATGCCTTGGTAAAGAATTATAGGCCGAACTGCAGCAAGGTTATTAGTAGGCTCGTATTGGAAGAAGGACTCGTTGCCTACTTTAGAAGAATGGATATTTAAAGTTTCTAACTTTGCAGAAATGGCAAAAATTTCTGCTTATTTGAAGGATCATACACAAGAAAGATATATTATTGTATGGAGAAGATGGATAGATTATATTCAGAAAAAATATGGGACTATAAAGTTTCATTTATTTTATGAGTAAATTTTATAGTAACTGTTGTAGAGATTTGTTTATATGACTTAATTTAAGGGGAGTTAAAGGTTAAGTATGATGGTTTTTTTCTTTTTTTTTTCTTTTTTTTTATTATTGTTAACTTTCTTATTAATAACCCTGTACTCTGCTCTGGGAAGCAAGGGGGAGAGGGTTGAGGGTGGATGGGTGGGTGAGTGGGTGGATAATGATAATATAGTCATGGTAAACGCTTGGGCATTTCCCCTATGCTGCATTCATGTGTGTGAGAGGGATGAGAAGGAAGGAAGGAGTAGGGAGGAAGTAGGATGGTTAGAGGAGAAGGGGAGGGGAAGAGAGTAGGATGGGAGGAGAGAAAGAGGAGGGAAGTAGGGAAGGATTAGAGAGGGTGGACGCAGCCTGGGGGGGATGGGCAGGCGGTACCAATGGTTAGGAATTTAATTGTATTTTGTATTTTGGAAAATAAATTTTTTTTAATAAAAAAAATGCCTTGGTAAGGTCACAGTTGGAATATGCATCCAGTTTTGGTCACCACAATGTAAAAAAGATGTTGAGACTCTGGAAAGAGTACAGAGAAGAACAACAAAAATGATTAGGGGACTGGAAGCTAAAACATATAAGGAAATGTTGCTGGAATTGGGTATATCTAGTTTAATGAACAGAAGGACAAGGGATAACATGATAGCAGTGTTCCAATATCTCAGGGGTTGTCACAAAGAAGAGGGAGTCAAGCTATTCTCCAAACCACCTGAAGGCAGAATGTAGATACATCAGGTCAGGCCATATTAAGGTCAACCCATATTACCAAGTCCTACATTCCTGCTCTAAAGGAATCCTATGTATCATTTCAGAGGTGTTGTATATCAACTGTAAACTTGTGGGCTTTAGAATTCTCCTACTTTCTTTTGCCAAGGAGCCCAATGATCACTGTCAGTAACAGATATCATGTTGCTTCTATCTTCATGTGGTTTAGTAAAATTGGTATTACATTGTTATGTTTCCAGTTCGGTGAGGCATTGACAAGACGAATGGTGCAACAACAACTCTTTATTCAGCTAACAACAGAAGCAGCCCTAACTGCTGCTTAACCACTATTTATACAGCTCACCACTAGGCGGCAGCCAATAGAATTAAAGCAATATTTCCCTCTTAAAGACAAGCTAATTAACATGTAGACAGACAGTCTGGAGCTTAAACAGGTGCAGCCTTTTGGCAGTTTCCAACAGTTTCTAAGTAAATTAATCTCAATACATAACACCCCTTCCCCCTAGATAGTTCATAATGACAAATATTGAACATAGTCCTGTAAATATTTTGGTGGCCTTCTTGACCATTCCGAGCACCTCAGCACCACTGTAGGCTCCCAATCTAATAGCTAACCGGCCAGGCTGGGTAGACTAGGGCTTTGGGACCCGTTTACTACGGGTAGCACTAAGTCTCTGTGGCTGGTCTGTCCAGGTAGACCCAAGCCAGTGTCCATAAGTGGAACGGTTTCCATCGGGCTGGGAATCGGAGCCGACTGCCAGAATTGCTCAGTGGGTGCAGACTCTGTGTTCGGGGCCAACTCGCTGTCCACTAGTGCCCCTCTCCTGGGAATCTCGCCCATGCTCGAAGACTCCGATGTACGACTGCTGTCGGGCTGCCCCTGGATTTGGCTTTTGCGAGAGTCATAAGCCAGTGGCTGGTTCACTAGCCTCCTATGCAGTTGGTCGATATGCCTGCATATCACACAACCGTCTTCCAGGACCACTTCATAAGAGAGTGGCCCTGACACCTTACCAACCACAGCTACCACCCACAGTGTCCCTTGCCTGTAGTTTCAAGTCCAAACCAGGTTGCCAACTTGCAATCTCCTCGGTGGCATTGGCTGTGCTGATTCCAATGCAGCTCGGTCTGGATGCAGACGATCCAGCTTAGTGATTAAGCAATGGCTCCATCTTAATTCTGCTGGGCTTCTGCCCGTGGAAGTGCAGGAAATTGTGCATTGGCAGAGTAAGAAATCTGCTAGTCTATGCTTCCAGTTGCCGGTTACGATCATTTTTAAGGATACTTTGGTCGTTTGAACCATGCATTCCGCTTGGCTGTTAGAGGCTGGGTGAAAAGGGGCCGAAGCAGCGTACCTGATCATGTTAGCCCTTAAAAAGGACTGGAATTTGCAGTGGTAAACTGAGCCCCATTGTCTGAGACTATCACGTCGGGTAACCCGTGCGTTGCAAAGATCCTGCGCAGTTCCTGAATGGTCCTGGCAATAGTCATAGTTGGGACAGGTGCAACCTCTAACCACTTAGAGTGACTGTCCACCACAATAAGGAATAGCTGCCCCTGAAAGGGGCCTGCAAAACCGATGTGGATTCTTGACCACGGGGCTTGTGTGGTTTCCCATCAATGGATGGGGGCTTGTGGCATTTCTGGTCGGGATTGCTGGCAAATGTAGCAGCTGTGTACTTGGGCCTCAATATCTTTATCTAACCCTGGCCACCACAGGTAGCTTCTCGTAAGTGCCTTCATCCAGACTATTCCTGGATGTCCCTCATGCAGACTCTAGTATCCTGGGCCTCAGGGAGTGCGGGACTATGACCCATGACCCGACTCCTCCACAAAATTCAGCCTTTGTGAGCTGAAAGCTCATCCTTCCTCCTACTGAAACTCTGAAAGCTAGGTCCCGGACTTATGTCCGGCCATCCTATGAGCACCAAATTAACACGTGGCTCAGTGTCTTGTCCAAAGCTGTTTCAGCAGCCATGTCCCTTGCGTTAAGGGGAGACTTCAGCAAATCCTGGATAGCCAGAATGCAAGCCGCTGGAGTGGGGTCTGGCTCTAAGTGCAGCAGGGGCAGTCTGCTAAGGCCATCTGCGTGGCCCATTTCCCTGCCCGGTTTGTGAATCAGCTGTAATTATAAGCTGACAGAAAGATGGACCATCTCAGCATCCTTGGAGAAATGATCTGAGGTGTTTGTTTGTCCGTCGTGAACAGACCCAGTAATGGCTTGTGGTCCGTAAAGACCATGAATGGCCGACCATACAATTAGTCATGAAATTTCTTAATGCCAGCACAATGGCCAATGCCCCCTTATCTATTTAGGCGTAGTTGCATTCTGCCGAGGACAGGGTCCTTGAATAATAGGCTATGGAGACTTGTCTCCCATCAGCCGTTAAATGGCTCAACACAGCCCCTACCCCATATGGGGACGCATCACAAGCAATGCTGATGGGCAGCTGTTCGTTAAAATGTGTTAGTACTGAGTTTAAAGACAACAATGATTTGACTGCTGAGAAGCTTCTCTTGTGGACACTCGTCCACTGCCACTGTGCCTTTTTCTCCAAGAGCCGTGTAACGGCTCTGCCACTGCAGCCTTGTGTGGAAGAAAGGCATGATAGAAATTAAGTAGCCCTAAGAAGGCCTGAAGCTTTGACGTAGGACTGGGGGCCTGCTGAATTGCTTTGAGCTTGGATTCAGCAGGGTGAATGCCTGCAGCATCAATGCGGAACCCTAGAAATTCGGCTTAAGCTACCCCTATTTTGCATTTCTCCCTCTTTAGTTTCAGCCCCACTTTGTGGAACCGCTGACGAACGGCTTTGAGCCTTTCTGCCAATATTTCTACTGACTCCCCAGCTATGAGGACATTATCGAAATATGGACACACTCCTGGGATATTTTTGAGCGTGTGCTCCATCATGCTCCGGAAAATCTCTGGTGCGACACTGACCCCAAATTGTAGGCATCTTACCCTGAAAGCCCCCGTGGGTAACTATGGTCTGAGCTTCCGCCGTGGCATCGTCCACAGGCAGTTGTTGGTAGGCTTGAGCCAGATCTAATTTGGTGAATATGTGGCTAATATATTTGGCTAATATGCCAAAATATGGCTGACTACAGGCACCGGATATGAATGTTGTTGAAGCACTCTATTAATAGTGCACTTATAATCTGTACAAATGCACACTTCCCCGTTGGCCTTAAATGGCGTAACTATAGGGGTTTTCCATCAGCTGCTGTCTACTGGCTGCAACACGACTTGTTGCAACAGCTTGTCCAGCTCTGCACTGATTCTAGATTTAAGGGCAAAAGGCACTCTACGAAGCTCAATCCTTATTGGAGTTACGGTAGGATCAAGGTGGAAAGCAATTGGAGGTCCCTTGTACTTTCCCAAGTCAGAGCTGAAAACATCAGCAACCTCCTGGCAAACGGCCTCCAGGTCCGTTGCTTGCATTCGGTTTATGCCAGTCACATGGATGCCCAATGCATCAAACCAGTCTAGCCCGATGAAGCTTGTGCAGTTGCCTTCAACAACCACGATGTCCAGGGGACCCTCAAACTCTTTGAACTGCACTTTGAATGTGGGTTCTCCTTTAACCGCTATGCGGGAGTTTTGGAAATCAGTTAACATGAGATTCGACGGCTTGAGTTTGACTCGTTTGCCGCTGTGACTGCAAATGTGGTTAAAAGTTCCTTGGGAAATTATAGATAGGGCTGAATCCTGTGTCTAGTTCCATGCTGCATGGGACTCCATGAAGCTTGACTTTAAGTCTCAGCTTCTCCTTCATGGGGCGATGGGCACCTGTTCTAAACACGCTCCTTCTGCTAGCACAAAAACAACTCTGTGTTACCCCGGGGCCCCGGTATGTTTCCTGGGAAATTCTTCTTGTGGAATGTCCCTCTGGCAACCTTTACAGATGGCGATGATGTGGCCTTGCTTCCCGCACGCCCGGCATGATGCTGTGCGGAATCTGCACTCCGAGCATCTATGTTGGCCTCCACAGCCCATACGTTGAGTGAAGGGAACTTCCTTGTCAAGTGGCTGTTGAACTCTTCCAGGTGGCTTCTGCAGCCGATCAATTTCATGGTCCATGTCGGGGACCTCACCTCTTTCTGCATCCCCGTGGATGGTTGCTGGGCTGGGAGTGTTCTTGGAGGGCCGTAAGGCTTTTACGGCTCCCCCCAGTGGCTTCTTCAGCCATGATTTCCTTTAGGGCGTCTTGGAACGACAAGGTCTCTTTTGCGAACAACTTCTGCTGAAAATCCCTGTTCTTCAACCCGCAAACTAAATGGTCTCTCAGTCTCTCTTTGAGGTCTTGGAAATTGCAGAGCCGGGACGCCTGTCATAGGGCAGCTATGAACTCAGCAGCAGACTCGCCTGGTTGTTGCTCCCTTTGTTCGAAGGCATGTCTCCAGGCAATGACAGAGAGCTTCAGTTAGAAATGTTCCTTGAGCATTTTCTTGAGTTCAGCATAGGCAACCATTTCAAGCGAAACTGGAGCGACTAAATTTTCGGCTATATTGAATGTCACCTGGCCGCACACGCACAGCAGCGTTGCGGCCTTTAAGCCATCTTTGCTAACTTGGTTAACTCTCAGGTAGTTTTCAACTCCCGAAATGTTAGAGCTCCACCTCTCAGGATGCGACACATCGAACTCCAACAATTTTCCGAGCTTGGCCATGGTGAATTGTCTCTGACCTCGCAATGCCTTGTGCTGCTAAGGCTTCTGTTGGTGGTCTTGGGGACGGGCATTGGCCTCCAGCGTTGCTTACTGGCAGGCAGAGGGAGGGAACATAGTTCCTACCAGGGCACTGAGGCTAGTGACTTCTGGCTCTTTATTTCTTCGCAGCACATCCCACCTTCGTCACCACTGTTATGTTTCCAGTTCGGTGAGGCATTGACGAGGTGAATGGTGTAACAGCAACTCTTTATTCAGCTAACAACAGAAGCAGCCCTAACTGCTGCTTAACCACTATTTATACAGCTCACCACTAGGCAGCAGCATTAAAGCAGTATTTCCCTCTTAAAGACAAGTTAATTAACATGTAGACAGTCAGTCTGGAGCTTAAACAGGTGCAGCCTTTTGGCCGTTTCCAACAGTTTCCAACTAAATTAACCTCAATACATAACATTACCAAATTACATCACATTCATTATGGGCATTTTTGATATCCTTTGATAGAACTGCAGCATTAGACTGTCATCTTAGACACTTACCTAAATATAAAATCCATTGAAGCTTAATTCTCAATAGAAGAACATAGGATTGCATTACAAATAATCCTTGTTTAGGGGTGCTACTGGCACCAGCAACTCAGTCATTAAGTGAAGCAGTCACCAAGTGAAACTGTGATTGTGCTTACAATCTTACTTCACTTCCCTTTGCTTTACAGACCCTTTGCTTTACAGTCGTAAATGCAAGCATTGGTTGCAAAGTTATTTTCTCATTATCATTGTAATTGAAGATAAAGAGAAATTCTATATGTAAACTTTGAAAAGTATGTGAAGTGTATAAGGGTCTGTATGAAATATAAAACATTCCATGGTTTTCTGTTTTATTTGCTTTTTTAACTGTTATTTCTTGTTAACTTTTCAACATTAGAAAATCAAGGAATTAAAAGATGTTTGGGAATTGTCAGATTATTAAGTGAAATAACCTAATTATAATAGTGGGAAAAATCATGTTGGCCAACAATTTGTATCTCCAATTAGACATGCCAGAATAGAGAAATATATTAAAGGGACAACTGTATTCAAACTTTGACTCAATAAACATGCACAATTGTGCTATGTATTATTGCTTTCTATGCTGATTACGCCCACCAGATATAAGATCTAAGTTCTTCTCCTCCCAAGATAACCTGTTATTGGATGGTGCAAATAACCTTTAGGCTTGGAAAGACAACCTGCCATCTTCCAAGATCATGAGTGAGAAACTAGTCCTCACTCAATTTTTGCAGTCTCCACAACTCTGTTAATTCAAAAGTCACAATATTGTTTCTTATCACTTAGCCAACTATAAAGATAAAGCAATTAAAAAAGAAAATCACAGAAAAATGGTCATGTGGATATATGGCATCTGCATTAACACTGCCTCACAAATTCTGATCCCGTCTTCTAAAAAGATTAAGTATCAAAATATTACCCATCCTTGTAGAGGACCAGAGGGATGACCTATGAGAAAGAGACTATTAGGAAAACGTGAGCTAAGTCTGGGAAAACAAGAAAGTGTGAGAAAAAAATTAAAGTTGCCTCCCCTGAGTCTCTCTGATAAAACGGGAAGACAATATGTTAGACCAGATGTCCTCAACCCCCGATCCATGGACCGGCACCGGGCCGCAGCATGCCAGAAACCAGGCCATGCTAACAAACAAAGCCCCATCCATAGGATGCAGGCAGCATACGAAACTATGCCCCCTCCGGTCCACGGAAAAACCTCTCCTCACCGAACCGGTCCCTGGTGCCTAAAAAGTTGGGGGCCTCTGTGTTAGACTTTGAAGATTCTGCTATAATAACCTGCATCAATATACTAGAGTTCTAGTATTTCTTATGATGTTTGTTTCATGAAGAGTTGACAAGATATTTTAGATCAGGCATCCCAAAAGTCTGATCATTAGAAATATTAGTCAGAGTTTCTAGAAGTTACAATATAGAATATTTGGGAAGCAATCTAATTGTTTCTACTTTCATTTTATTTTTATTTCAGTTTTCTAAGATATACATCTAAAGCTTTAACAAAAGATTGCTACAAATAACCAGCATACCTTTTTAGCATATAGAATGTTAGAAGAATCTAATGAATCATCCAGAGGTCTCCAATCTATTATCACCTCAGTGCCCTAAAACACAAATGATGCAATTATTCAAAAAGTAATGCAGTAGTGTCTGTTTATATTTACAAAATAATATTGATTTATTCTATACAAACAATCATTTTTCATAAAAAGTGGAAAATAAATTCATAGGAAACATACTATACAGTTATATTCAAATGAGAAAACCCTAAATTTTGATGTGTAACCTTTTCAATAACTCGCAATAATCCAGATTGTAAAGCATCATGATCTTCATCATTTTCACTTGAAGAATGAACAAAAACTCCTTCTTGTTCATATACAACCTAAAACATATAAAATAAAAATAATAAATTAAGCAGAGTTGTTTCACTAAGAGCTTTTCTGGCAATCTGTTCTGAACCTGCTTTGGGGACAGAACCAATTACTATAATGCAATTTGGGCCTTTCAGAAAAAATAACAAGCTTATATTGCATACTCACTAGGCCAGTCAAGTAATAAATTGGGCAGATTTTCTATTAAAATAGAACATTGAATGCCTGGGGATATACTAATATGGATGGAAAAATAAACAAGACTAGTTTTGCAACACAAGGTATATTAAAATCAAGAGCTCAGAAACAGTTTATTCCATTTTTATTGATTCCTAAAGCATGTTAGCCACAAGGCAAGGTACTATTAAAATACAAAAATAATAAAGCTATCAATTTAAAGCTTTTAAATAAAAGCTTTCATCAGAAATGAAAAGGGCAGGCTACTTAAAACAGAATACTACACAAAAGCTCAAATAGAAAATTAATTACAAGTTCTGAGAAATCCTTCATATGGAAATAAGCAACCCCATCAGTCACTCCCCACACTTCAGAGTGCATGGACACTTGGAATGGGCTTTCAAGGACCTGAGGCTCAGGAACAAATGGGAAGAGAAATACCTTTAAATATTTTAAGCTATATTCTATATTAATGAATCTATTTGACATACTGTTGAAAATCAAGTTAAATTAACTTGAATTTGCTTACATTTTTAGAAAATTAATCTGAAAGTGTTAGATATAACTTTATGTCCAGTTGTCTAAGCCTTAAATCATAGCACTGGCAACATATGAACATTTTCAGGTTCACATGTAACAGTCATATGCAAATATGCCTCTGCTCAAAATAAATAATTGCTTTAGAAACCAAGCAAAAGTGAATGGAGTTAAACTGTCCTACATCACACAAGCCAATTCATTGTTTCACATTTATTATATCATAAAATGAAAGAACACATATCATTGCAGGTTAACATAACTTCCTACCAATTCATATCATGATAATCCTGTAACTTCAATAATGAACACAAATGAAAGAAATATTTGAGCATTTTCGCCCATCTCCAAACCAAGTACTATATTTCTCTGTACCAAGGTTTTAGTTTGCTTAGGCTCATGAGATCACTTCATTTTTTAAAAAATTATAACCCACAAATTAACAAACCCAGTGTTTCGCAACCTGGGGGGCAGCAATATCATCACAGGAGATCCGTGAAGGCTTCAAGAAATGTTATGATTTAAGTCTTGCTGGTCCGTGGCCACAAAAGTGATTTAAAGAAGGTCTGTGGTGAAGAAAAAGTTGAGAACCACTAAACTAACCTGATACAAAAGGCAAGACAAAGAATGCCAAGATTGCAAATTATATTACCCTTGATATATTACTCCCGATAATTCATCTTGCACAATCTGATTTTATAAAAGGGTGACAAGCTTCAGGCAATATCTGTTAACTGATATTTTAGAGATGGAAAATACAGGCAGAAAACCCTGAATCAATGCAGTGGCTTCATGGGATACAAAAGCTCTCTATTGTACAGATTTAATTTCTGGAATGATTGTTTGATAAAAATGGATTCCCATTTAGTATTTAGAATAACTGTAGTTACCTTAATTTTTTTTTCAGACAGAGTTATTACAAATATAATTACTTCTTCACACATTAAGATAGGCATTTTCAAAACTTATGTTAGTTATCCCTTAATGAATAAGTGTAAGTGAACTTTCTTCTCATTCCTAAACAAAACTTATCAATATACTATATACCATACTAGAAGTTACCAGCCAGCATAACTCAAGTAAATTTGAGATAATCTTCAAAGAAAGATTTAGTGGGAGAGGGGAGAAAAAACATATAAAAACTCTGTAACCTGTCTACATCCTTTACGTCGGGGGTGTCAAACTCAATTTCACTGAGGGCCACATCAGGATTGTGGTTGACCTCAGGGGGGGCGTGGTCAGGGTGGGTGTGGTCATCAACATCGCTTGTGTTGGGGGCACCTGTGTGGTCTGGGCAAAAGGGCAGCAGGGCTGCTGGTGGCCAAATGCTAAGACAGCACTTCCCTCAGACCCTCCCTCTCTCTCATTGTAATCCCCTCCCTCCCTTCCTTCTTCCCTTTTCTTCTTTTTCCTTCCCTCTTTATTCTCCTTTCTTCCTTCCCCCTTTCCTTCTTTTTCCTTTCTTATTCTCTTCCCCTCTTTCCTTCTTTTTTCTTTGTCTTTCCTCTTTCCTTTCTCCTTTCCTGTCCCTTCTTGGATGCTCAAATGCAAAAGGGGAAACATTTCTCCATGCTTTCTCCTTTGAACTGGGACATTTCCAACCAAAATACCTTTTCCTCCCTCTCTCCCTCCCTGACTCCTTCCTTCCTTCCTTCCTTCCTTCCTTGCTTCCTTCCTTCCTTCCTTCCTGTGTGTGTCTGTGTGTCTCACTCCTTGCAGCCCCGCACCCTCTCTGCGATGGCAGGCTGCAAACTAATGAAAGTTGGTTTTTTTGAGTACTTGTTTCTTTTTCTCAACGTGCTGCCAATTGCATCATACTCTGCCTCCCTTAGCTCCCACCCACAGCCCCATGGCAGGCTGAGGTGCTCAGTAACTAATGAATTAAAATAGAAATAGTTTTTAAAAGGGTATTTTTTCACCACAGCGTGGGGCTGCAGGAGGTCACACACACACACACACACTCACACACACACGTGTGCAGGTTCTGGGAGAGATGAGCTGAGAACCAGGGAGCAAGAGGAAAGGATAGGGGAAGGGGTCAAAATGGGAAACTTCTGACAGGAGCCTCTGGTAGCTTTAAAAAAAAGTGTTGAGCACGTTTCAGTCCACCCTCCCCTCCGTGGCCTCCACGCCGGGGTTGACTCTATGCCTGCCAAAAGGGCAGTTTTGCTTTCGACCCCCGCCATGCCAGAAACCGAAAACTGCTGCCGTTCACCTGCTGTGTCCCCGACAGCCCCTGCAAACTCCTATTGCACGCTGGCAGGTAGAATTCTAAAGCTCCCATTCTGTTTCCTCCATGCTAAGGAAGGATGCTGCCGCCCGCAGCTCTCTCACTAGGGGGTGGGGCGATCCCAGTGAAAGCCGGACGGGCAAGGCTGGGGGGGTGGGGCAGGGTAAGGCAAATGAGCTGCAGCTGCTCTTACCATTTCCTGTGCGTGTGCTGGGAAATCGCCCAGCCGGGTTGGGTTGGGCCAGGGCTGGGGCAGCAGGGGCCGGTTCCTTGCCATTTCTGTGAACAGCTTCAGGGGCCAAATTTGAGCTCTTAGTGGGCCATATCCAGCCCGCGAGCCTTGTGTTTGACATGTCTGCTTTACGTTATCAACTAAAACCAATCCTGGAGACATTCTTCTTTCCACCTCAGTAACTATAATCTATAATTACAGTACAGAAACTGCACTCTAAAGGCAAAGCTAGGACACGAACAGATGCCAGTCTGGATATGTATGGAATGAGTGAGCACTGCTTTTCCTCAAACTGAAGTAGATTCAGCCTCTGTCCATGTCTTTTGGGCAATATTGCCATTTTTCTTTTTAACCTAGTCACCGGAGTAACTGAACCCATTTCTGGAGGAAAGAGGAAAGCTTCTGGTGAAAAGCAGCAAAAGATATTTTGTCCAAGGATAAAACATGTTGGAATCCTAGCTCTGACAACTATTTGATAACCCTAGCATGAAAGAGTTGTATGGAATTTATCAAGGATATTTTTTATTAATTTGTCTTTGGGTCCAATAGCTTAATATATAATCAAATGATATTTTGTGTGTACAATGGAATAAATGAGGAGGTGATAAGCCACCTGGGAAAGCCAAGGGAAATCATCAAACAATTAAAAAATGAAAATTAGAATATGTCAGACACCCAGAAAAATATGGCATACTTCATTTAATCTTCCAAGGAAAGATTGAAGGCAAATGAGGTGCAGGCAGGAGAAAAACATCGTGGTTGTAACGATAATTAAATAAATCAATTGTCTTGAATTTAATTAAAGTTTCTTATAATCTTAACATGAGTTTAATCAAACTATTTTTATATTTGCTGAACATCTCAGTTGACATTTAAGGACTGTGCATAAAACATTTATACTAGTAATAAATCTGAGAAAAACCAATAAATGCCTTATAGTCATCCTGTTTTGGTTTAATAATTATGCAATGGCTAATATGAATTTGGAAAGATACATAAGGTTTAAAAATTGATACAAAGTTGAATATTGAAAACTTGAGATTTATCGATAAATTTTAGCTACCTCGGAGAGGAACCAAAATAATTTTGCTATGTTCAGAAAAATTATCATTCACTCTCAATCTCTAATGAGAAAATTGATATATAATGTAATCAAGATGTAATGTGTTGTTTAAAACTGAGTTGCTTTTACATACTTCTTGTAACATGTTAGCTTCATTTTATTTATATTTCTTTTTTGCTTATACTGTAGTTATACCATTAAGCAATAAAAATAAAATTTCTGAACTCAAGATATTTGTTTAGCGAATCAGAATGGATTGAAAGCTATAATCCGGCAACACAAACATTGATTCCTAATTACTTAAAATATTCTAACTGAGCAGTATAACTAGCTTAGGAGAAGAATTAAATATCTGAAAAACTGAAACAGTTGTGCTCCCACTGAAAATGATCTAAATATAACAGTGGATGACTACCAACACTGTATATCACTTATATGTACCAAACCATATGCTGTGGTGAAAAAATACCCTTTTAAAAACTATTTCTATTTTAATTCATTAGTTACTGAGCACCTCAGAAGTTCATCTTCCATCTATTTAGCAGAAGTCTTAGTTGCAGCCTCCAAGCAATCACTGATATCAATTTTTTTTAACATAAGAAGCAAAAAGATTATCTTTAACAGGTTTTGGGGGAAAAGTTTTGTAAATCAGTTTTTTTATGCATTTTAACCATAGCACAGAAAGCTCCTTTGAAAAAATCAGTCAAGCCTAACAGGTCAAAATACAGTAAAAAGGATGGGCTGGTTTCCTTCTGACAGTTCATTTAGAGATGTACATATAAACAGGAGTTACACAAAATGCCGCTATGGGAGTATGCCCTCTTCCCCAAACTTCCTTTACACTTCCCTTTTCAACAGCACCAAAGCATGCCGTTCCTTTTGACCCCGACCTGATCACAGATGCAGGAAATGTTTTACGTGTCATACCACCTGTCCCCATTCCGGCAGACCAAGAGGCGTCCGCTTCAAACGAATGCAAAACGTCTCAGCCCCAGGCCCCGCCCGAGGTCTGTGGGCTGTTGCCCCGACGTTATTTGGAAGATACCCCTCGAAGCAAGACTAGTTCAGCCAGCGGCCTGACATCCCCCCAGCTCAGCGGGATTTCCGTCACTCCCCACCCACCCATTACAGAGGTCCCATAATGAAATTTACTCTGCTCTCAAAGCAACATTATAGTTACCGCGACTCAAATATTTTATTTCTCTCCCTTACCTTTCCCCCTTCCGGAGCTGCCATCTTGGCTACTAATGTTTATGATGACGTTGATTCACGTGTTCCCAGCAGCTTCACAACAACCCCCACCCAACCGAATCTCACCGTCTCGGCGGCTCAACGCATGCGCAGGCAGAGGATGATTAGGAGTTTGCGCAGTAAGTAGTGGCAGAAACCAACGAGGTTAGTAAAGGGCGGAGCTTGTTTTTACGCTGCTTCTGCTGCCGCCGTTTGCTGCATGTTTGGGCTGCTCCTATGATAGTCGTTTTCTTGTACTCCGTCCCTTTATGCATTGGAGTAGAATGATAATATATACCAGCAGGGCTTTTTTTCTCATAGAACGACCAGAATGGAGTTCCGGCACCTTTTTTGGATGGTTGTATGACTTGTGTGAGTTCCGGCACTTTTTTTTTTTTAAAGTACTGTATACCATTACCACTGTTTCTCAACCTTAACCACTTTAAGAGATGTGGACTTCAACTGCCAGAATTCCTCAGCCAGCTGGCTGGGGAATTCTGGAACTTGAAGTCCACATTTCTTAAAGTGACTAAGGTTGAAAAACATTGATTATAATAATAGTCAGAAGCACTGTTATACCTAGGTGTTTTTAGTACAGCTCCCTGGAATAATAGCATGCTATTTCTAAGCTAAAGTTGACAGAAAACTTGTTTTTCAAGAAGGCTATATCTTAATATTCCTTTCTCTAAATATATTTTTTCAGTCAGCAAATCACTTTGATTTCTCCACCTTTACATTGGTTAGTTACTCGTTTCCAAACTGTTAAAGTAATTGTATCTACTATTAAAAGCACAAACAGAATGGAACAAAC